GTTCTCTGTGTTTCCTGTTGTTGCAATAAAACTCAGCTGATCATCCCACGGAGTACCTTCATTCTTGACCAGCGTATTTCTGTCTCTGTTGTTAAATAAATATTGCCATAACATTTACGATAAATGCTGAATTAGAGGGGGGGAAAGCATTTTTTCTAAAAAAAAAACTGTGAATGCTGAAATTTGCTGAAGAATCAGAAACAAAGTTTATTAAAGTTAAAACAAGCAGAAGGCTAAAACCTGCAGAGCAAAAGCTTACAACTTAAAACAACAGAACAGCGGCTAAATTCAGCAAAACAGGTGCCCAAGTTAGAAATAACAAAATAGATGCTAACTTTAGCAAAACAGCATCTAGAAGACACAGAACAAATGCTAAGGTGAGCAAAAAACAAACATTAGCCAAATGTAGCCAAAAGTAGCAAAGGTTGCTACAAAATGCTGCAGCTAAAGTCAGCAAAATGATAAAATTAACAAAACAAAAATTAACGCTGGTAAAACTGTAGCTACAAGCAGCAAAAATGCAAAAGCTAAAGTCAGCAAATCAGTAGCTTAAATTAGCAACTCTAGCTAAAGACTAAAAAGTGCAAAATTTTAGTTAAAAGGAGCAGAATGGTATTGAGTCAAAAGTAGCTTAAAAACAAAACAATATATGTATATACGGAGTCATATTTCAAAGGGAACTAATTTTCTGTAAGAATAAAAAATATAAGAGGAATTTTATTCTAAAGAAATTAAAGACCCTAAAATCTAAGTTAAAAAAATACAAAAAAAAAAAAAAACCTATTCCCGAAGCTGAATGTTTCAATGTATCAACTGTAAAAAATAGCACAAAGTCTGCAGAAGTAGCTTGAGTCTAAAAACATACAGAACAAACTTTAAAAGAAAAACAACTGTGTGAATGCTAACTCAGCATTCACACCATGAAACATAAAACAAATCCACTCAATAAAAGCTTAATGAGCTTTTTAAGTTTCCATAAGAGGAATTCAACCTGGAAAGACTCAGAGAAATGATAGCAGTTAAAGAGTTTTATTGATATGAATGAATGAAGAGGAGCTTGGCGCTCGAGCCCCAGCAGAAGACAGGAGTGCTGCAAGAACCTGAGAACTGATGATCAGTTAGAGGTAGAGTAAATGTCTCCCCCCAGGCCGGGACACTGGTGGTGGGGAGAGGCCAGAGGGAAAAGGTAGCCGGACCTTGGCTGAGGGTGGAGGTGGGTCGAAACTCATCTGGGGAGCAGCGAATCCTTGCATTTTAACGATGATCTCGGCAAGATGATTGGTTGCGGTGAGGTGAGGATCAGGCGCTGATGAGCTGCAGCTGGGCACTAACGCAGCAGGTGGGTGAAGCAGGTGAGGTGAGAAGAGTCTTCCAGTCTGAATCTACGCCTAAGATTCATATTAAATTTCCAGTCAATTGCAGATTAAAAAGAGAATAAAAAATAAAAGAACATAAAAGATTCACTGAATTTATTTTATACTGTGTGCACTCCCAACAAGACCATAGATAGGCCACTACGCCCTAAACCAGCAGCTCAGGCTCACAGATTATTTTGGAAACTCCAAACAAACGTGATTTTAATCTCTGTTGGAAGCACCTGGAGGAAAACCACAGAAACTACAGAAAGTCCCGAGCTGGGATTCAGAGTGGGAAACAGTGAGATGACGGAGTTAACCACCACCCTGCTGCACCACCCAGATGTTCCATAAAAAAATATCAAGAGAAAAGATCCAAGCATGAATCCAGAAGAAACATCTGGCTTGTAACAGTTAAGGAACCTTTATGAAATAAAACGATCTAATGATTAAATCTCTTTTGATTTTGTAGTTCATCAGGACTGAAAGAAGCAGAAGTCATGTTTTTGAAGTTTTGTCTGCGTCTCTTGTGGTTCCAAAGTTCAACACAGTAGCTGTTAGCTGTTGGTTTCGTCCTGCACTATCATTTACTGCTGTTTACAGGGGATGTGGGAAGCATTTAACAGAGCGCACACAACCAGGTCATTCTGACACAGTTAGGAGCGTTCTGGATAGATCAATAACAATCAGATGTTCAAATCGTAAACATGAAAAAGAAGAGCTAACATGCTCATCTTGACTGAGTGGAAACAAAAAAAATGCTTTTAGTTTCTGAACTCTTTGTGAGCACAATAAAAACTAGACGTGAGTTTGTTCCACTTTGGATAAATTTACAAGAACCACTTTCCCCTTTTGAGACTTTATGTAAAAACCAATTGGATTTTATGACTTTAAAGGGGACATGTCATGAAAAATCCATGTTTTTAGCCATTAAATACATCTTGTTGTGTTCTTAGATTTTCTAGGAGTGCCAAAAATTTGAGTTTTGTTTCTCTTTATATTATCTTAGAGTGATAACTTTCAACCTGTTCAGATTTCTCTGTTTTCTATGACGTTTTCTTGACTTGTAGCATACGTCACAGAATTTTGGTCTCTGGGTCAGACTCTGTAATGCTTGATGGACAAGTCTTCCCTTGTTGACGTCTTTTAATTAATTTGTAAATAAAAAGTTTCTGCCCTGCTAGTAAATCCATCAAGCTGCAATGGACTATTCTGGAAGTTGGAGGGG